TATGTTCGTGACAAAAATGGGAAGCAGAGAAATACAGACTATATATCTGTATTCATTCAGATATGTTGAAGCTGGCATTGCTTCAACAGGTTCCGCCTCACTTTGTGTGGAGAGGGCCAGACCTTCCTGTTTGCCAGTGTTATCTTGAACAATGACGTTGAGAGGCAACAATGGATGGGTTTGGATGGGACTAATCAGCCACCCTGATTCTTCCTTCCACTCATGATAAAAAATGGAGGCACTGGTTCTCCTCATTCAACGCACTCGAGAAACGCAGTTGCACTCAGAGACGAGGGAGATCTCACCGCCTTGTCCTTTCCGGCCTTCCCGCCCTTTGTGGCTCCGCCCTGGGCTGACCTCATGACCTCCACCGGCCAATACCTGCAGTCCATGATCCGCTGGGCCAGGCTGGGGGCAGAGAGAGTGACATTTCAGAGCAGCTGTTGGGAATGCTGAATTTTCAAGTCAGTTCTTTGCCTGCTGCCCCAGAGGGGCAAAATGAGGGAACTTAAAAACCACATTATTTTGACAGGAGTTGTGGCGACAGCCTATCAGCCAGGCGCTCGAAGGTGATATTTCAGATACGAGCCAGGTTAAGACAGAGATCCCTCTGGACTTGGGGGTTTGATTGCAGGGGGTGTTGATTGGCTGTGGGGAGTGACTGTGGGCGGGGCAATGTGTCCGTCTCACCCGGCCAGTGCCTCGGGTTCCATGAAGCAACGTCTCTCTGTGTCCCAGCTCACCCTCCTCCCGCTGGTCTCCGCCTCCGAGCGGAACTCCCTGTCCTGAGGACACATGGACACGAGCGTCGTCACGGCAGCACGTGACACAGGCCGTCAGCCATGACTCACACGCAGGTGTTCACGTCAGTACGTGGTGCCATTGGATTTGACGTCATTGCTAACACTTTCTTGTAGTTTTCGCTTTGTGAAAAATATGTGCTGCCTCAATAGCTTTCATTTTCAATTTAAGGCAAGGTGAAGGAGTGAATAAGAGGCAGTCAGCTCCCTGTAACCACGTATCAGATACCCACATACTCTTCCTTTAATGTGCAGCACACAGCTGGTGCCGTTTCAGTCCTACAAGTCCTAATTAATCCTAATACACTAATACCCCTATTATGTGCAGTTTCCAGCTGAGCACAGAACATCACATCAGCGACGGGTAAATGGAGTGAACAGGAGTCGTGTGAGTGAAGTGAGTGAGTCCAGACAGTCAGAACACCAGCGTCTGGACAGTACCTCCATGCCGGTCAGGTCTCCATCCTCCATATCGATTGGTTCCCCCTCTATGGAGGCTCCCGGCATGAACTGGGCCCCAGGGGCCAGCAGGTGACCCTGGGGCCATTTTTTGGGTCTGGGGACGGGCTCCCGCTCCCCCCCGGCTATCAGCAATCCGTTGGAGAACAACAGCACCTGCTCCTTCTGGAGGAGAGCAACAGAAAAGAGAGAGAGAGAGAGATTGCGTAGGTGCTGCTTCAGCAGGGACAAACACTCAGGACTAAACTAATTAGGACATCTGCTGCTCTCAGCGTCATGCAAAACAGGGCTGTTTCAGTCTGCTTCAGCCACTGAGGCAGTCAGACTCATGCTTGCTACTAAGTGCATTCCGCTGAAGTCATTACTGGGCACCTGAAAGGCAATCTCAGACCAAAGCAAACGCTCAGGATACAGGCCTGAAAGGCAATCTCAGACCAAAGCCAATGCTCACAACACAGACATGAAAGGCAATCTCAGACCAAAGCCAACGCTCAAGATACAGGCCTGAAAGGCAATCTCAGACCAAAGCAAATGCTCAGGATACAGGCCTGAAAGGCAATCTCAGACCAAAGCCAACGCTCAAGATACAGACATGAATGGCAATCTCAGACCAAAGCAAATCCTCAGGATACAGACCATGATCTAGAAGCACCCATTTCTCAGCTGAGTACTGTGCAAGAGAGGGTGAGAGTAGACCCTCTCTCTCTCTCTTACCTCTGAAGACACAGCTCTTCTGCACTCACCCGAACACCTGAAACACTACCACTTAAAGCAATTTCTTATATCGTAATCTTTGTTTTCCATACATACATATATATAAAAAAATCAATATATGGTTTCATGCACTTTTATCTCTACCAGCTAGCTTGTACCTTGTCTGGCCAACTATTGAAACTTGGTCAAGCTGTGCTTCTAATATTGTTGACTCCTTATGCAGCTTTTTGATTGTGTTGTACTCTACCTCACTTGTAAGTCGCTTTGGATAAAAGCGTCGGCCAAATGAATGAAGTGATTGCAGGGCACCTGAGCGGCAATCTCAGACCAAGGCCAACGCTCAGGATACAGGCCTGAAAGGCAATCTAAGACCAAAGCCAATGCTCACAATACACACTTGAAAGAGCATCTCAGACCAAAGCAAACGCTCACAATGGACACTTGAAAGAACATCTCAGACCAAAGCAAACGCTCACAATACAGACCATGATCTAAAAGTGTCCATTTCTCAGCTGAGCGCCGTAGAAGGGAGGAGAGCAGATCCTCCCTCTCTCCCTTACCTCAGTGGAGACAGGCATAGGTAGTGCAGCCACATAGCTGAAGGGGGGCCAGTGCCCGTGCTCCAGGCTTCGGGGATGGAGTACGCGGTCTCCACGGCCACCCTGAGCAGATTGGACTGAGCGAGCTGGACGTCGGACAGCAGCGGCTCGGGAACGCAGATGGTCACTTCCAGGGCGGGCTGTGAGACACAGTGAGAGGAGAGAAACGGCTCCTTCATCATCAGCGGGGCTCAGCATGGCTCCCCTACCCTCCACCTGCCTCTCACACACACACACACAGACACACACACACACACTGCAACACACACACACACACACTCACACACTGCAACACACACACACACACTGCACACACACACACACAGCAACACACACACACACACACACACACTGCAACACACACACACACACACACACACACACACACACACACACTGCAACACACACTCACACACGCACACACACGCACACACACACACACACACACACACACACACACACACACACACACACACACTGCGACACACACACACGCACACGCACTGCAACACACATACGCACACACACTGCACACACACACACACGCACCCACTGCGACACACACACACACACACACGTGCACACACACACACACACACACACACACACACACACACACACACACACACACACACACACACACACACACACACACACGCACACACATGCTGCAACACACACATGCGCACACCCACACACACACACAGCAGGGTCTGTAATTTCCTCCTGTCTCTCACACAGACACACAGGCACACACTCATAGCACAGTGTGTGGGTAAGCGGAGGAGTGTTGCCGCCCTCACCCTGCTGCTGTCCTCTTGCGAGGGAGTCTCTCCAGGCGATTCGGGGGTCATATGTAGGAGTACTGTGGAGGTGATGGTGCACTGACCTGGATTCAGGGAAGAGAAGTCACTTCCAATAAAAAGACCTGCTGTGATGCAATTCTACCAGCACTCCTGCGCTGCAGAAACCATTAACAGAACATAGCAGATGTGTTGCCAAGGAACAGCTCTTTTCTCAGGAATACCGTATTGAAAAAAAATCCCTCACACAGTTTGTGCTGATTGGACGATTGTGAGACTCACCGTGCAAAAGCGGCAGCAGGTCGACCACGGCCTGCCCCAGGACAACAGTCCTCTCCTCCTTCTGCTTCTTCTCTTTGGGCAGGATCTCGATCACATTCACTGGAGATTGATACAGGGGAAACTTAAGTCAAGCTATCCACTGCTTTCAGATTGCACAGACACTTATGCAAACACACACACCCACACCCCTACTGAGCCCCTTACTCTACTCTCTCTATACACACAACTGTGTGTCCTCTTACAGTTCCTCTTCTATCATCAAGTTTGCTGACGACACAGTGGTTCTGGGCGTCATCTCCAACAACGATGAGACCGCCTACCTGGACGAGGTGGAGAAGCTGATAACCTGGTGCCAGGCGAACTGTCTCTATCTGAACATCAGCATAACCAAGGAGCTGGTTGCGGACTTCAGAAGGAGGCAGCAGCAGACTTACACCCCACTCATGATTGGTGGGACCCAAGTGGAGAGAGTAAGTAGCTTCAGGTATCTTGGAGTACATCTCACTGAGGAACTGACCTGGACTAAGCTCAGGTAAAAAAGGCCAGACAATGGATGTACCACCTAAGACTGCTGAGGAAATTCAGGGTTCCCCCAGTGATTCTGAAAACTTTCTATACCGGGGCTATAGAAAGTATACTGACTCAGTGCATCTCAGTGTGGTACACAAACTGTTCTGTCCAGGACCGCAAAGCCCTGCAGAATGTGGTGTGCTTAGCTGAGCGCATTTCCAGGACTGCCCCCTCTCTGCAGGTCATCTACACCAGGCGATGGAGTACCAGAGCTATCAAAATTATTTGGACTCCACCCATCCCAGTAACTGCCTGTTCAGCTTGCTGAAATCCGGCAAGCGCTTCCGCAATCTGACGGCCAAAACTGAGAGGCTCAGGAGGAGCTTCTTCCCCCAGGCCGTCAGACTCTTCAATACGCCACACTAATCTTGAACATAAACTCAGGGCTTTAATGATGTGGTTGTTACTTTCCTGCACTCGGTACTACCTGCATTTAGTACTTTCTAGTTTTTATTCTTATTGTACATATTTTTCCTTTTATCTATTTTATCTATTTTTATCTAATTTATTTTTATCTCTTCTATTTTGCACAGACTAAGGAGTTGGACCAGGTTTACATTTCACTACAAGTTGTATACTGTTTATAACTGTCTATGTGACAAATAAAGTTCTTGAATCTTGAACAAATGTGTACATGCATGCACACACCCACCCACACACACACACACACACACACACACACATAGCATTTGTCAAACACGTTCCATGTTCCACAATCAGTATTTTTATGTAATGCCACCCCAAATATGGAAATGGTGTTGCATTCATTTGGTGGCAGTATAGAACAGTGGTAAGGTGCAAGGCTCCTAACCAAAAGGTTGCTGGTTCGATTCCCAGCTGGGGCACTGCTGCTTTACCCTTAGGCAAGGTATTTACCCAGAGTTGCCTCAGTAAATATCCAGCTGTATAAATGGATAACATGTAAAAATGTAACCCATGTAAGTCTCTCGGGGTGAAAGTGTCTGCTAAAAGACAATACTGTAACGTAAATTCATTCATCCATTCACACACTCACTCCAGTCCAGCATAAACCTCAGAACTCGAGGATGAACCCACGGATGACGGGTTTGTGCGCCATGTCGTCTGGCGCGTGCGCTCCGTCCCAGCAGTCGAAGCCGCAGGTGAAGCTGTACTCCACACGCTGGTCTGGAAACGCCTCCACCTTCTGGGACTCTCCCAGCACGGCGCCATTGAACTCGGCCCGCACAAAGCCAAGGAAGGACTTGCCCTTACTGCCCCTCTGTGAGGGAATATTCATTAAGATTGTCGGATTTATTTATTTATTTATTTATTGAATTTATCGATTAGGGTTAACGCGACAAATTAAGGTGATTGATAGAATAGCGGTTAACACATGCACACATATGTAATTACCTAGTCAGACCAGGAAGGTTTATACCTACACCTATAAACCCCCTTGGTCAAATAGATCGTTAGGTCGTGGCAATACATTGAGCTGAGTCACTGTCAAGCTATTAATTCGCAGGCTGATAAACAACAAACAACAAATAACAAGCCTGTGGTTCAAAATCCAATATTAACAATTCCGACAAGAGACTAACTGTTGTCTGTATTAGCAAACTCGCTCACCAAGTTGATCCCCTGCAGGACAGTTATTTGCACGGGTACCGTTTTGTGCTCAGTTGCTTGAACCTGTTCCATCCTTGTACTGAGAACTGGGCGAACGGACCTTGTAGGCAGACAGTATTACTCTGCAGCAGAGCCGCAAAGTTTTTAAGGTGCACTGTAGTTCGGCGTCCTCCCGTTTCCATGGTAGCGGGGTTCCCTATCGCGAGATGTTGTTTCTCCGTATTCTTTCGCAGACTAAAAAGTCAGATGGAAAAAGAAAGTGTTAACACTTGAGCCAGCTAAGTTAGTTAATGAAGAATACACCGGAGAGAATATACATAAATCATAACCGTGAATGACATGAAATGGTTGCATGTTGCAACATTAACTGGCTACAGTATGGGTCCTGTTAGATAAGTATCACGCTAAGACGAACAAAGCTCGTATTCTTTCACACGCATTCACCTAAAAAAACTATCAATGTATCTGTAATGCATACATCCAAAAGTAACGCACCGGTAAAATAGCTATAAGACGCTATATGGCAATATTTCGACAACTTGTTAAGTGTAATTTCAAAGCAGCGTATGGGCAAGACCCTACAGAGTCCATTTCCGGAAGTTGAAGCGGGCCATTGGAAAATAATTTACTGAACTTTGTGAGCAGGCAGCATGCACCAGGAAAAATGGTAAGCTGGTTAATCACACCTGTGATTAAAACAGCACTGACAGCCAAGTGATAATTTCTGAGTACAATGTGTTGTTCTCTGTTTGACTGTAATACTGTATTTCGTCAGCCTGTCGCTGCTGAACGCGGTGGAGGAAGCCATCGAGCTGAACAAGGCGGAGGCGGCGAGGATCAGCAAGAGCGTCCACCAGCTCCGGGAGATCCTCCGCTCCATGTGAGTCAGGCACACTACTTTACTTTCCCTGGACAACGTTCAGGTGATCGTCATACGATATTGTCAGGTTAACGCTGGCATTTCTCAAACTGAAACAACAGTGCTGAGTGACTGGATGTCACACGTTCTTCTTTAGTTAAGCAGAGACGCATTTTGTCTTTGGTGGTTAAACTATGTCGTTCTGGCGGGCGTTTTAAGTTTTAAAGCTTCAGCTGAATTCACTACTGCACGCATATGTCTGTAGAGGTTAGTGTACAGAACTAGAGAGGTTTGAGGGTCACGAAGCTGAAGGCTGTCCTGTCACTCTTACTTTGCGGCAGTCGCCTTGTTTTTGTCGTGCGTGTGACCAGCTGAATGGGATGGAAGTAACTCAGTAACATTCAAAACCATAGAGAGTTTTCATGACTGCTGATGTAGTGTTATTGTGTCTAATTTGTCACAACGTATATTTCTGGGCTAGTTTCCCGCATAAACGCACTGTAATGTTTTTCAGGAAAGCACAGCCGATCAGTGCCCCAGAGGAAGAACCATCATCAGTAAATGCCGAGGAAGGTAATGCACATGCTGATCAGTTAATTATCTGGGTTTGCTTTGGGTAAAAGCTGGCATACGTTAAGGCAATGTTAATGATCAAGCTTCTGAGGCAAAGATTGCAGAGTGCACTGGAAGACTTCAAAGGGTGATTTCAAATGAATGCTTTTCAGTGGGGGATATAGTAGATTCTCCATTTCACGCTTGTTTAGGACTTGAGTAGGTCTCTGTCTCTATAGGTGTTTATCAGTTAGCAAGGCTATTTAACATAGGCATTTAAAAAGCCCTCACTCAGCCAGTTAAAGCGCCTATTCCAAGAGTCCTACACCTCAGAGTCTAGGGTGTTTTATTCGCTGGCAGTGACCAGGGAGCCCGCAGCAACCGGACATGATTGGCTTTGTTCTGCTGGGACAGGGTGGGTTTCGTTGGCCCAAGTGCCATTCTCCTGCTTTGGCACCCTCTAGTGGCTCATGAGACTCCTGATAGTTGCTCAGATGACGTCAGTGGAGATACGCTTGTCCTCCAGTTAGTGTTGGCTCCGCTCTGGTGAATTGTGGGATTTTTAGTATAAAAATTAGCCATTGGCTGCGTGCCAGTGTATGATGGGATTGCATTCATCTCGCCTCAGAGCTCCTGCGTAAGCACAGATGGTGTTGTGGAGAGACAAGCTTAATGTACAACTGGCGAATGGGTGATTCAGAAAAAAAGAGGAAAAAGCTTAAAGAAAATAATTAAGAAAAACATTGTGTTTGCATGTGCACAGATCCAGGTTTGCTGCCTGAGGAGAGACAGGAGATGGCACTGCTGGAGAGAGTTCTGGAGAAAGCGCTACGAGTTCGCTGTGGCTCAGGGGCGCCCCCTAGGGGCCCAGGGGCTGCAGGGAGAGAGGGTGGGGACGGGACAGAAAGAGCGCAGACGGCAAGCGACAAAGTGGCCAGTCAAAGCTCATCAAAGCCCATCAAAGCCGCCCCCAGGCCTGGAACGGAGGGGAAGGCAGCCAGGAGGCCCACTGCGGCACCTCTGACCTCCAGGAATGCTGGGGGACAAAGACGTCATCTTGCAGGTCCTGGCAGAGGCTCCGCCCAGAATCGAGCCGTTGTGCCAGGGAAGGGGGCGCCCCCTCACCGCTCCGGTACAGGGAAGCAGTCAGTTCCAGCACCTGCCACAGGTGAGCAGAGACCCGCCCATACCTCAGCGGCAGGTGGCCCACAGCAGGCCTGCCCCAGCGGCCTGTGGGCTGAAGATTCAGGCATAACCAGGGCCACCCGCGAGGCCCTTTGTGAGGACCCAGTGTCAGCCAGACACACGTTGGGGATTGGTGCAGGAGACGGCAGCGTTTCTGCTCAGAAGGGAGACAGGTAGGACACAGTTCTATGGATTGTGATTTAACTGTTTTATCATCTGTTTCATTTCTGTCCATCTGGCTAAATGTAAGTGCCTATCCATACCTTTACAGAAGACATCTTATTTTTACATTATTTACATCAAGTTGCTTAGCATGCACCCTGTGGAACTCCTCTTTGCGCTGTTCTGTAAAATTCTGGGCTGTCGAGCAGGAGGAAGTGCCATTTTGGCCTGGTAAACAGTGATATTTACTTTCTGAGCTGATTTATTTCCAGGATCTATTTCTAGGAGTTTCTCAGGCACCTTTCACAGAGGGGTCAGGGAATTGTTTGACATTTTTTTCTCATGTCCTAAATGTTTATATGTTTAATTTTTGTCCTCTTAAAATTTTGGCTTCCCTCTCCAGCTAGTAAACTACTCTGACAGTCTGATTATTAAAAGTGCAATATGCAGTAAAAGTTGATTGATGGATTGATTGATTGGTCTTATGTTTTTGATGGTTATGACAGAAAGCCGCTCATAGCATCTTCTGTGTGGAGGGCTCAAAGAGCCAAGCACAGCAGGTAAGCAAAACTGACTCTCATCAAGTTCAGTAAGGGTGAATGACTCTGCATTGATAACATCCTGTCGTACCTGGTATTTGGAAAAAGTCATTAAATTCCACACATTATTCAATTCTGTACTCTGTAGCTTTTGACACATCTTAATTAATTTCTCACTTCACTCATGCATGTATTATTCAATTAACACTTGCTGATAGTTGATATCTTAAAATGTTGTGGTCTATATCTGGCTAAAGTCAAATTTTTTATAATTTCTTTTGCTCTTGGACAAATTTGAATAATTGCTTTTAATGACCTACTTTTCTTCCTGAAAAGCAGTTTAGCTTTAGCGATTTTTGGTGACATTAACAGAATACATGAAGGCTTGCTGCAACAACAACAACTGTAGTTAAAATATTGAACACTGAAGTAATAGAAAAAAGAAAATTGTTGCCCTCCAGTAAATAGTGTGACTGAGGTGCAAACTCAGAGGAAGACATGCAAAAGGAAAGAAAAGGCTGCACACTCATGCCATACCCAAGACTTATGACCATTTGTGGTTCGGACTGTGCAGTATTCATTCAGAATCGCAGATGTTGCATCCTTAGAACTATCTTGATTTAAAGAAAAAGCTGTATTCACTGTGAAATGTAGCCCTCGTCATTCAGACTGAACTTTCAGTCTCACCATATTCCTGTTTGTGTCCCCAGATTGTGGGACAGGGTGCTGGCCACGATGTTACAGCCAGTGGTGGAGAAGACACGCTTCACTGAGAGGCTGCTGAGCACTGTATCCTTCCCTCTCATCCTGAGACTGGAAACCCATTTTAAAGGTTACGAAACTGCTTTAATAAATATAGTGGCACGTTACATTGTACGGTCCTGTACAGTGCAGTAACTTGATGATGTCAAATGCTCTTGGTTGAATTCGACCTGTTGGATTATGTAGTAAAAGCCACC